TTATTTTTAATATTAATATCACGTGAATAATTTTAATTAAATAATTGATAAATTTAAAATCAATTTTTATTTTTTTATGCAAATTATTTATAAAAAAAAAATATCATTAATATATCTTATAGATTAGAAAAACCTCGAAAATGTGAAAATGGTTTTGAAGCATCCATATCATGGAAGGAGCAAGGACTCGTCATTTCGAGAAGCAAGTTCATTCCATAGAAAAGGAATTAGATTCCAAACAACAAGAGGAAAGCAGAATATTGGGGCATGGAAGCCTTTAGAGAGAAATGTCAGAAAGGCAAACAGCCCATTTGCCCTTTAAGCCAAGAAAAGCTATGAAAACACAAAGGAAAAGAATCTTTCAATAGCTTTATTACAAAAACAAACGCATTCATCAATGTTTATTATAAAAATTGTGCTAAGGCAAAGCTTTAAATTTGTTCATCAAAACAATCTAACCCCAAATCAGAACATTTTTCTGTTGTACTTATCATGGAGGATTCAACGTCAAGGGCAGAAGCAATTAGGCCAATGTTTCTTAAAGCCGGTATTCCTCTGGCTGTCTCTGCAGCTGGTTTTATCATTTCCAAGATCTTATCAAACAGAAGGGGAAATCATGAAGCTACTCCAATAGAAGAAACCCCGGTAAGTTCTCTCCAAACCAATTCTCAAGAGTTCAGGGGTGGAGAGAGCTTTCTTAGCCTTGATTCTGCATCTTCAACTTGTGAAGAAGATCAAGAACAGATTGAAAAACATTCCCATTTTATGCAAATGAGTGGAAGTTATGAAATTGTGAATAAGAATGATTATGAAGAGGAAATTTTAGGCCTTAGAATACGGATTGAAGAGCTTCAAAAGAGGGAATTGGAATTGGAGACGCAGTTTCTTCACTATTGTGATGTTAAAGAACAAGAATCTATTCTAATGGAACTCAAGAACATGCTCTTACTAAAGACTGCTTATCTTGAGTTCATGCATAGAGAAGCTTCATCAATGGAGGATGAGATGAAAAGGCTTGAAAATTTAATGGCAGAGTATTATAGGGTTCTTCAGCAGCTTGAACATTGGAAATCAGAGAATAGATTACTTCAGAGAAAAGTAAAGAAGCTTTCAAGAAAAACAAAAGCACAATCTCAGATAATATGGGAGAAAGATTTGAAGATTAAAGCTGGAGAAGCTGAGATTTGGAGGAACTATGATGCGTTAGAAGAAAGATCAAATGTTATTGAGAAGTTGAAGGATGAAGTCAGGGAGCTAGAATCTCTAGTTCAGCAACTTCAGGAGCAGAAATATGAGCTTGTAAACCAGCTAAACATGATGGAAAATTCAGCTTCATCAGTCTCCAAGGTTTGCTCCTTTACTTTTGGCAATTGAGACATTACATTTTTGTTGTGTTTGTGCTGAAATCGGGAAACTTAATTGTTTTACAGATTGAAGCAGAAGGAATAACAATAGAAGACTACAACCAGCTTGCAGATGAATATGAACAGCTGCAAAGGGCCAGGGAAGCTGAAGTATCAGAACTGATCTACTTAAGATGGAGCAATGCATGCTTGAAGCACGAATTAATGAGGTACCATGCGCAAAAAGAATGTGAGCAGGAGGAGAAAAACAATCCAGAACCTGAATTTGAAGGAAGTGGAGAAATTGGGGATTTTGGCATGGGGCAGCACTTGGATGGTCTGGTGCTAGAGCAGCAAGGTGGTCTTGTTTGCTCAAGGAAGAAGAAGCTGCTGCAGAAATTCAAGAGATGGGTGGAAGGGAGTGAGAAGATGAAACCAAAGATGGAGGAAAAAGAGAATCATGAAACCAAGTGCTTTGGAAGGCATTCAGTTTCTGATGAAATGGAAGAGGTAGAGGAAAGTGTTGCTCATGCAAGGAAATCATGTTCTAGTGCTTAAAAACACCATTTTGGAAGAATTTAAATAAAAATCATGTACCCAATAATATGCTACTTGATGGTTGGTAATATATAATTTGAATGTTAAAAGAACCCCATCAATTTCGAGATGTTACCCCTCCGTAGTACCCTGCAATTGATTCATTTCTAGATGTTACCTCTCCATTGATCACAACAATTCACTCTTTCTGTGAAAATTACCTTCAATCACAGTTCTGCTCTTTTAATTCAATTTTCATGCTATTCCACAAGCCCTGAATTTGAATGTATGGTTTTGCATTTAAAGCTTAAACTCAATACAATTGGGGGAATATTAAAAGCCTTAATTTTACATTTTGTTTCAAAGAAAGGGAAGAAACCCTAATTAAAAGAAGAGAAAGGTGTTTTTCAGTATATATTGCATATTTTTTGTACGATCCGGGTGCCAAAATTATCAAACGCTATTAATAAACAAGTATAGAGAGCACGAAGATTTTGGTAATTCTAATACTCACATTGTAATAAAAAAAAAAAAACAGTCTACACTAAAAAAATACTTTTCTGTGAAGAGAATCAGTATTTAGAAGCCAGTTTGGAGGGTCTATAATTTCTGAGCACCACCTCCATCCAGTTGAACCCTGTTTTATGACTCCGAGGATGTGGATGGCATTCACCATGGTCTCATGACCAACTAGGAAAACAAAGTAATTTTCCTCGTTAGTTCATTTCTTAACTGTCATTAACTAACCATCTAATCCTATGGAACTCTCCCTCTTCCTCTGCAATAAACCCACTTCAGCTCTCCTCCACAAGCCCCTCTCCCTTGTCACTCCAAGGAAGTTCCTCTGTTTCTCCTTATGATATCTCATTTACATATATACGTATTCTTGGGTTTCATTTTGACTGAAGAAAACTCATTTCTCTGAATCCTCAGGGAAGAGATTATTCAAGAAGAATTCGTTTGTCTCCCCATGCCGCTGCTCATTATCATCCTCTGATGGGGCTGAATAACCAGTCCGGCTATCGTTACAGCCAGAGGGGAGGAGGGCATTGTTTGGTTCTTTTATCATAGCTGGTAAGTTCATTAAATCCATTCCCATGATTTTGCATTTTCGATTCTTCTTGAGTTACATGTAAGTTTCTCTTAATTATTTGGCATTTCTCTATTGCCCATTTTGTTGTTATGATTAAGCTGCTGGGATATATGTCTGTCATGTGGCTGAGGCTGTCAGTGCAAGCAAAAGAGCTATAAGAATCCATTGTTGTTTTTAGGTTGTCTTTAATGCCACTTACAATAGTAAAAATCAGCACTTTATATTGGCTGTTGCCGCTTAGAGAAGCTAAAATACCTGGGGAAGAATACATAACTCTGCCCAATCCAATGGTCTAAAGTTAGTATCTATAGTCATCACCTTTCATTATCTATATGGTTGTGTTTCCAATTTTTTGATTGGATGGTTTCTATATTTTCTATTTCATTAACTCCTGAAATTCATTGCATACAAGCATACAGCTTTAGGACAAATGAGACCTAAGAGCCAGAACCTATGTAATAAAAATGGAGATTTTTTCTTCATTCAGAAATCATTAAGATTTAATTGATTCAAATCTATGCTGAATCTAATAGGTTGAAAATATTTCTTCGTCTTCCTTCATTCAAATACCTATCTCTTTCTTGGAATAAAAATTAATAAATGCCTATCCTTTTCAAAGTGCTTCATTTCTTCTATCTCTAAAACTGTGAATTTGAGGTTGTTGAGAAACTTAATGAGGAGAGCTTGGAGTTGGAGGTGGAACAGTAAATCTGTAGTGATGAGTTATTCAGATTTCTTTTCATGCTTAATTTAAGAGGCCTTGTTCTAAATGCTTTATAGAAAATAAAGCAATAGAATTTTTATTTATTTCCCTTTAAAAGAAGGTTAGCCTTTGCTGGGTCTCTATGCTTGCTCTTGTTTGTGAATGATCTTTATTTGAACGTGGATATGAATAGGATCTCTTGCCTTTAAGCAATGGCTCCTTTCTCCACAAACTTACACTGTTATAATCTTGTAAGAATCTGATTGAGCATGATTCTCATTTTCTCATCTCAACTGGTGCAGCCTTATGGATTTGATGTTGGTCGATCTGAAGGGGAGCAGTACTCAAGGGATTGGATATCGGTGTTCATGGTATGCCTGTTGGGGGCCAGGTGAGACAAGTTTCTAGAATACAATATCCTTGCAATTTCTTTGAAATCTACAGTATGAATAACTAGCAGACAAAAATCTATTGTCCACTTCAAAATTGACAAAGTTCGGCGCACTATCCTTCTGAACTATACCAAACGTGGGAAGATTATGATTCTTTCAACCACATGGTCTTTAGACCTTGTGAATTTTATCTATTTATTTATTTATTTATTTGCAAAAGGGAGAGCACATAGAAGTTTAGGTTCCTCCATTATAATAAAGGAGACATTCGGGACAAACTAAGAGCCCTTTTATATTCACTCTTGAAATGTTTTGATTCCTAAACATATTAATTAAGTTGGAAGAGCATCTTTATTTTGATTTATAAACCTACAATTTATTTGCAGCAATTGCTAATAATTCTGTCCGAACTAGCTTATGGAAATAAAGGAGTCCAGGAAATTCCTCCAAATGCCACAATGGAGGTAACATGTTTATGTTCTCTTTTAACTAATTAAACTGTTTAGTTTATTTGTGCTCTTTAAATCCTGCCAAAACAAAAGAAAAGGAAAGTATATTGCACTGACCATACATATTTGAACATAAGATCCTTCAAATGTTAATAAGTGTCACCTTAGAGAGAAAGCTAATGATAACAAGCCTTGCAAGTTGACAGGTAGCTCTCTACATAACGTATTATGTATATAGGCATGTTTTACTCAGAGGAATAAATTCTTTCAGCACCATACCAAAATTGTTCTGTAGTTATGTCTCTTGGCCTTATATCGGATAACTTCACACCTTCATAAACTGGAAATTTTAAGTCAATCTCAGTAGTAGCTTTAAATTTTGCTATATTTCTTCTACCTCCTTCTCCTTCAATGTCCTCACCTCCTTAGTTCTCAATACATTTATAATTTTCTTCTTTATTCTGCAATTGGATGTTGAACTAGTGGCTATCAAACAAAGTCCGTTTGGGTAAGTAATGGCTTAGAACCATAATAATGAAATTTCTTAAATGTCTCTGGTAGTAGGACTTGGTCATTACTTTGTGCTTTAGGTCTCCTGTAAAGGTTATTAAGGGTTAAAGAAAATATGTAATCCCATCCCTGTCAAGTTGGCTCACCGAAGTGAATAATAAAGTATTGGAGCACATAACTTGGGTGAAAGTGGACCACCACCATCATAGACCTAGTGGTGCTCCTTCTCCTTGAGAAGATAGACATGCCAACAGAAATTGATTCTATGCTATTCACAACAGTTAAACATGGTAACTTTGATACTAAAGTTCCCAAATTCGTATTTCATGTCAAGATTTTCTTTCTTGTCTAGACTCATCGATTGCTAATTGGCTGAATGTTAACTGTCACGTGTCCTGAATCCTATGAGTAATGTGCTTGTTTCCTTTAAAGATTTCAAAAATGACAGATTCTAAGTTCTGAAAATCTAGAAGGGTGAAGTAGAATGTCTTTGTGAATTGTGATCACAACTATATTGCCACTTTTGCCTTGTTATTATATCTCATATGCTATTTCTTTTCATCTTCATATTGCTTTTTCTCTTCTTCTTTATTCTTGAGAGATCAGACTTAGGTGTTACTACTATATTGCCTCTTTTCCATTGTGATTATGGTTCATGTGACTACCATATGCTATTTTTTTTTTCTTCTTGACATCCTTTTTCATTTATGGATCGTGATTACCATTGCTGAGTGCTCATAAAGGAGAATTAGTGTTTCTTATGCTTGCTCATGCCTTTGCCTGACTATATTATTTCTTCTATCCGACCCACGTGTGTCTTTCTAAATGAACAGAATATTGAAATTAGCATTAGTGCAAGAGCAATTATACCATGGAATTTTCTCTTTTACCATTTTAAATTGATATATATATATATAGATATCTGGCTTGGCTGTTCAACAACATGAAAGGTGAAAATTCTGAAATCTATAATATAGGGAAGAAGCCTTTCTTGGTAATAGCTTTCCTTAATGGCTTTCCTTGTTTAGAAAAACACATAAAATTTCTAGCCTTTTGGAGAGCATAAAAGAGGAATCCACCTCCCCTATAATTGACAAAGATTTGATAGTTTTCATAGAGATTCTTGCAGCTACTTTTGATAGACTCAGTTAACCTACTTTATTCTTCATCTTAGCCTTTTTATCTCCATAGCCTCCTTGCATTTTGCACCATAACTGCTTCAGCTCCTCCTCTTTGGTCATGCAAAGATGGTGTGTACGGAGCGGAGTTCAAAATCATTTTTTATTTGCATCTATAGTTTCTGTCTTCTTTTCCTTTGTCATTACTGTTCTTCCCAGAAGACCTGCCCGAGCTGTGGTGCCATAGAGGTGCCATATCCTCTAAGCACACACCCCAGCTGTGGAGACACAGACTATTCTCTGCACTGTGACTCCCAATCTCAGAAGCTCTACTTTGATGCCCTGAATGGAAGTTCTTATGTTGTTACCAGGATCATGGCTTCTACTCAGCGCATGGTGGTACAACCATCACCATGGATGCCTGGCCAATGTGTTACTCAAGACATGCTGACAAGTGAGGGTCTCTGGTTGAACCAATCACTCCCTTTTAACATCACCTTCTCCAATACCATCTTCCTCTTCAACTGCTCACCCCGCCTCTTAGTTTCCCCTCTTAATTGCACATCATCTAGTCTCTGTCACCGTTACTTGGAGAGCTCCGGACACGTAGACACAAAACGGGCACTTCAATGTTCAAGTGAAGTTGATCCCTGCTGCACCTTCATTGCGGGTGGGATGCCTTCAGCATACAAGATTAGGCTTCACAGTTCTGGTTGCAGAGCATTCAGAAGCATCCTTCATTTGGATCCAGAGAAGCCCGCAAGTGAATGGGAAGAAGGGTTGGAAATTCAGTGGGCTTCTCCACCTGAGCCAGTCTGCCATAGCCAACTTGATTGCTCTGAGACTTCCAAGTGCATGTTGTCTGGTACAAATGGCCTCTTTCGCTGCGTCTGCAAAAGGGGCTACCATTGGGACCGAATTCTTGGAGCTTGCTTGAGAACGAAGAAAAACACTAAAGCCACCCTCAGCTTAAAGATATCAATAGGAGTACTCTCCTTCTTCTCTTTAGTGATAGTCGTTGCTGCAATTTCCGTTAAAAAATCTTGGAAAGATTCCCAACAAGAAGAGCTTATGAAGGCAAGAGAAGACATGCTGAAATCAAGCAATGGTGTCAAGGCAGCAAGGATGTTCAACTTGAATGAGGTGAAAAAGGCAACGAATAATTTCTCCAGAGACAGGGTTCTAGGGACTGGTGGCTTTGGAATAGTCTACAAAGGTGAGCTTCAAGATGGGACACTTGTGGCAGTAAAATCAGCAAAGATTGGCAACATCAAAAGTACACATCAAGTTCTCAATGAAGTTGGTATACTTTCTCAGGTCAATCATAAGAACTTGGTTAGGCTCCTAGGTTGCTGTTTGGATGCTGAGCAGCCACTGATGATCTATGAGTATATCTCAAATGGGACCCTAAATGATCATTTACAAGGAAAGTATCCCACCTTTCTGGACTGGAGAACAAGGCTGAAAATCGCCTTACAGGCTGCTGAAGCACTTGCCTATCTACATTCTGCAGCATACACACCCATCTATCATCGTGATGTGAAGTCAACAAATATACTTCTGGATGATGAATTCAATGCCAAAGTTTCAGATTTCGGACTCTCCAGACTGGCTAGCCCAGGGCTGAGTCATGTCTCAACCTGTGCTCAGGGAACTTTGGGGTACTTGGATCCTGAATACTACCGCAACTACCAGCTGAATGATAAAAGTGATGTCTATAGTTATGGGGTTGTGTTGCTTGAGCTTCTGACCTCCAAAAAGGCCATTGATTTCTCAAGAAATGAAGATGATGTCAATCTAGCCATATATGTTAGCCAGCGAGCCAATGATGGTGCAATCATGGAAGTTGTGGATCCAGGGCTGCTTGGCAAGGAATCCTCAGATCATATCCTAAAGAGTATCAAACTATTCTCGGAGCTTGCATTTGCCTGTTTGAAAGAGAAGAAAGCAGATAGGCCTGGCATGAAGGATGTCGTCCAAGATCTTGAATGCATAATTCAGAATATCAATCAGGAAAACATTCCTAATGAGGTTAGTGTTGAAATCATATGATCTGTTACAACCTTTTACATGTCAATCTGTGAATATTCATGTTAAAGAAAGGATTGGATTTGGCAGGTGGAGAGAATGATGTCTTGCAGGACCATTAGTTTTGGTTAGTCCACAGAAGCAAAAGTTATTCCAAAGATGGGATTTGAGTGGATGGATAAGCATACAGCAAAGAGTGGGATCAGATGCATGCTTTATTCTGTAGAAAGTTATTGGATGATGCACTGGCCCAGGACTTCATAGAAGGAAAGGTTAGAATGGAATCTAGAGGGGATTTAGTAATAACTTTTGTATTGTGGAGGAAAAGCATACATGCTTTTTGAAATGGGGAAAGCATTTTCCTTTAAACTTTGAATGAATCTAGGTCTAGGCTTGTCATAGGCTGAAAGCATTACTTAAATTTATAGATTTTCCAATATTATAATTATGATTCCCACTCTCAATACATATATTGTTTTAAGTTTTGCCTATGTATTAGATGCTCTTACTATAATTGCCATTCTTTTCCTCTGCCCTCTTCCATGCATCACAATCCTTCAAATGCTTGAAATCTCCGAACCCAGGTCACAGATAGAGGCCTGATATCCAGATTCTGAAGAAGTAACATTGTGTGGAAAAGATATGTGATCAAAATGCTATGTACAAACTGATACTCCCTCTGATCATGTTTTTCTGTTCACATAACTAACTCTTAACTATTTCAATATGTAAGTTTAGGTAATATTTTTAAATAGTATAAAAATGAAAATTTTTTTTTTACCAAATGAAACTATACAATAAGAATTGTACATTGAAAAAATTTTCAATTGTTATTTATATGTTATACAATTATTATTGATATGGAATAACTCTAAATTTTTTTGAAAAAGGCAAAAAATTTAAATTTGAGACTTTTTCACATTAATAACTAAGTTAAAGTGGCCTGAAATTATTACATAGTTGAATTTGACAGGTAATAATAAGGACTGCATGAAAAACTAGTTATTTTGGTGGGATTACCACATCCAAAGGATAATAACAAAATTTTCTTCCCTTTGTCGTACAGACAAACCAATGAAATAATTTTACATAATAGTTAAAACTAGTTCTTCTGGTGGGATTACCACATTAAAAGGATCATGAGACTACCACAATAAAAGGATCACAACAAAATGGTGAGAACTAGTTCTTCTGGTGGGATCAGCACAATAAAAGGATCACAACAAAATTTTTCTTCCCTTTATCAAGTAGAGGAACGACACGCAGGAGGATTATGATTAAGTAAAGACAGAAGGCTACTTTCAACTTTCTTAAGTATGGGATTAGTCAAAAGCAAAACTATTAGTGTCATTACAAATATTTATGATGCTTCAGCATCATCCATTGCTTCCCTTGTGTTGGCAATAACAATCGTCGTCGTCAAATAATGGCTACATGGAATATTGCCAATGAGGTTCACCCCAGTTTCCTTACATAAAACATAATGTTAAAAACTTCAAGTCTCTTTCCAAGTAAATATCATTCAATATTAAAAAGCATTCCAGCTGAATAGCTGTTTAAACAACCAAAAAAACCCATAATGTTACAGGAACCACCCTCTGCTCAGGACAATAGCTATAAATGTCAAAGGGAACACCAGGTAGGAGCGGCAAAATCTTTTAGGAACAGAAGGGTTCCACAATTGAAGAGATGCCGGGGTTCTTTAGTTTATTGTGATGAGGTCAAAGAGGCAAAGAGCCAAGACATTATGATAATGCAGAGAGTTGACTGCCAGATTAACCACCTCAATAAGGTATATGGCAGATTGGTCACATCACCTCCGGTAGCGATAGCGTTTGAAGTTGAAGTAAACATGCAAAATTCCGCGTTCAAATGTGCACTTAAACCCTTTCTTGTGTGAATATTCCCACTCTTTGTTTACAATCCGGAATGCCTGTAGAACAAATAACAGTTGAGTCCATACTTCTCAATGAAGCTAATATTGAAGTAAACTACTGAATCAGATGAAGGTGAACTTACTATGTCCTCATATGGTGGCCCAGCATGGAACCTAATAATGCAAGTTTCTGTACTGTTGCCATCCTTCTCGATGGTATATGTAGGTGCTTTTGTCTTGTCAACAAGGTCAGGGTAGAATATATTGAATTTGTACCCTTGAACAATTTTTGGAGGCGGATTGTCATGGTCATAGTGAGTTTGATTGTACTTGTTCCACTCATATCCAGTGTGAACACGATTGAAATATTTTGGCTTTCTCGGACGATACTTGTCATGCCACCAATAAACCTGCCACCGAATAGATTAGTTAACTTCACAAGTATAAATAATTATTCAAAAGGGAGATTGTGATTTAGCTACTTGTGGTTTGAGATAAATACACATAAATACTTGAGGTTTTAAAATGTGCACATAACATACTTGTGGTTTTGGGTATGTGAAGATGAAGACTCAAGAGATATCAAAATGTGCACATAAACACCTGAGATTTGCACTTGGTGCAAATAGCCACTTGAAATTTCTTAAAGGCCCATAACTTTAAATGAAAAGAAAAGAAAAATAAGGGTATTTAGGACAATTTCATGCAACTTCAAGTGGTTATGTGCATCTAATACAAACCTCAAATCCCTATTTGAACATCTTGAAATCTCAGGTCTTTATGTGCACCCACCTCGAATTACAAGTATGTTATATGCACATTTTAAAATCTCAGGTCTTTTTATGACCAACCCTACACCTCAAGTAGCTAAAACGTAATTTCACCTTACTCAAATTTGCAAACTCCCATTTTCAGTTTATTTTGATTTTTTTTTTTTTTTCTGAAGCAACCAAAAACCTAGTTAGAAAGGGGATAAAGGTAGCATACCTGTGAGTCCAAGTTGACTTCAGCACCAGAACCAAATACAGCATCACCCTCCTCCATGGCTCCCATAACTTTCATTGCTTTTAACTCAAAGTTATCTTCTGATGGAGTAGGTTTAGATGCCATTGCTTCTTTCATCCGTCTTTGTTGTTCCTCAAAAACAGCCATTCGTTTCCTTTCCTGTTATAAGAACATCTATGTGGTTAGACCACAAAATTATCTCTTTAACTTGCATAATCCTCACGAGGCAGTGAAGATAATGTTAGGTAAGTTACCAGTATAGCCCTGTCCTCTTCAGGGTCAATGGCTTCTTCATTCTCATCACCGTGCAATAGTTCTGGTGAAAATGATCCTGCCTCTTCTTCTGCCTCGTGAGTCTCTTCTTTTACTGTGGGTTCCGGTGAAAATGTTTCCTCATCTACATATCCAAAAAAAGAAAAAAAGAAAAGAAAAGAAAAAAAAGGTCTAGTTACAGAAACCTTGAGATAAAACCACCATATCCCCATGACTAGAAGTACATACCTTTCAACTCAGGCTCACTATCCTCTCCGGATCTTAAACCATGATCACTTTCCATTTTGTCTTCATCCTCTAAAGGTTGATCAACAAGACGTTGCAATTGTTTTCGCAGCATTTTAGCATGAATTTCCCTCAAACAGGCCTGTAGAAACCTACATGTTAGCTCCACATAAAGTTGATTGTATAAAAAAAGAAGAAGAAGAAGAAGAAGAAGAAGAAGAAGAAGAATAAGAAGAGAGCACAAGGTGTATCTAGAGATTACCTTAGCCTTGTAGATATCCAGACGTTTAAGAACAGCCTCCCAATACTCAACAACTTTTGCAGTTCCAGTTTTCATTTGTGACTCAATTTGCAATTGGAAAGCCTCTAACTCACTGTGGGTCTTCCCTTCCAAGAGATTGCTTACATCTGTTTCAATGCTAGAATGCAGACCCCTTTCTTCCACAAGCAACTCAGCTGGAGGTCTCTCACCACGCACCCTAGCTCGATCCAAAGCATCCTTCTTTCTGGCTTCAGCTAGCTCCCAGTTGCATACCACCATAAGTGCCTATTTAATTAAATTTATGAAGACATTGTCAACAAGACATCCTAATTCCAAGAGAAAACATAGAATCAACAAGGTAATTTTCCGATAAAAGAGCAACATGTGGACACACATAACAAAAGAGAGCATTTAAAGACGCAACTATCCAGAATGGATCTTAAGAACATGTTTTCATTCAATAAACACATGGTAAATTGATAGTCTGTAAAACATAGGAGAGCAACCAGTGTAACCCCTTATTTTGAGCAAAAAGGGATACCACCTCCCAATACTCTACGTGTGTTGGAGTTGCCCTGTCCAGGTCAAGATGCATTTTGATGTCGTCACGTAGTTCTTCCATCTCTTTTACTGTTAAGCCCTGAGTTACACATCAAATCTCCATGTTAGGGTTAAGAACAAAACAGAACATCTGATGGATGATCACCTGTTGAAGATCAAATATATTAAACAACAGAGCAGAGAAGTTGACTTGTTATTACTGCACAGTAAACAATGGTCAATACTCGGTTATCACTCTATTGAACTGATATATTACGGCACAGAATATCAATCATAAGTGAATGAAGAGAACCCTCATAACACAATTGCATTCAAGAATCCAATCTTTGCATAGACTGGTTTTATTTCTTGTTTTATTTTATTTTATTGCAATGACTGATTTTATTGTTAATCATTGAATTGCTCTAACTAAAAAACTAATTACAGGGAAAGGAAAAGAAATCAGAAAATAAAGCCGCTGATAAAAAATAAAAATAAAAAAACCAGAAAATAAGGCTCCATTTAGTATGGTTGTGATTTTGAGTTTGTGGTTTTGGTTTTCAAAAATTTAGAAACCCTAAAACAAAGTTAATAAGTTTGATAAATTAATTAAGTTCGAAGTTTTGTGTATTAGTTTCAAAAATTTACACCCAATAAGTTTCCATTTTTAATTTTTAATTTTGGTTCTCAATTGTTAATTTTAATTGTTTGAATTTTGAAAACCAAAAACCACAACCACACTAAACAAAGCCTAAACAAAGGGATAGAATTTAACAAGAGATATAATATATTAACTTTAAAAACCATGTATGGTTCATTTAGCTCAATATCCATATCATCTGAGCCATCAAGTTGCTTGGAAAGAACATCAATTGGCTTTATACGTCCTTCACGTAATCTGATCTGTGATCTGACTTTGCTTTGATCAAAATGAAACTGCAGAATGTGGATAGGGTGTGTTACTAACTCAATCTACAAATAGAAGGTTAAAAAGAGCAATAACAACAGCTTAGCCCCATACCTCCTCTTCCTTCTTCTCCCAGTCTTGGAACTCAGCTCGAGCACGTTCTCTAGCCAAAAGCGCCTGCAGGAATGATAGAGTTACTTAATCAAAATGTAAAAATAAAAAGGTTAATGAGGAAATGGAATGAAAAGTTATTTTTTCCAATAATAAGTCAGAATACACTCATGATATATTTTTCAGGTCACTAAACTTACCATTTCTTCCTCATGTTGTGCTTTCTCAAGTGCCCTTTCCTCTCTTCTTTTTTTAACTTTTTCAATCTCTGCCTGAATCATAAATTCAAATGGCTATGTGTAAATTCCAATGCAACAGGATGAGCTTTTGTGATCATAAGGAACAATAATAAACTAGACAAGGATGTCGAATTTATTCTGATAAAGATACCTTCCCTAAAAGGATAACAAGAACATTTAACTGTCTCTCTTGACACCAATTATGAAATCCTTTTGTTTTTTTTTTTTTTTTTTTTTTGGCCAACGATTATGAAATCCTTAATTTCACCTAAATAACTCTAGATTATCATTAAGTTTTTAATGAAATTCACCAAACTAAATTGAAAATATTTCGTGGAAACTTCCACTCAAAAAGAAGCAAACAGCTAAACTTCTATTTTTTTCAAAAAAGTCAATATTCTCTTCCCACCATGCATATACTCAAGAAGCAAAATACCAACATCTCACTCTAGGCAATTTCTACCACAATCATTACACCAACATGTTGGAGAAGCCATCTTCATTAATTCTAGATTTTCCTAAGGTATGCAAGCAGTGGGAAAGGGCATTAACAAGATTGACAATATCGACCAAGAATTCCAGTAGCCTGCTTTCAGTCTTATTAAGTTCTTTTGAAACTATTAATGTCATAAAATACCTCAACTAAAAGCCAAAACACCTTCCTAATGAATAAATGAAAGAGGAAACATAACATATCAATCTTGTTGATAGTACATGTGAAGGCATTCTTGACCTAGATAAACATACCATTCTTTCTTTCTGTTTCCTCTTCTCTGCTTTGATTGAAAACTCATCCAGGGGGACTCCTTGGGAAACATCTCGTTCTATTTTCTTTCTCCACACAAATCTGCAAAGCCACAATAAAAAATATCATAAATCAGATAAATAGCTTTACTTTGAGAATAATTGCAAAAGTAATCTGAATTGAATCCGATTCATCTTAATTAATCCTCCAAAACAAGGAAGATGATTCATGACATCAATCAAAATTTGATATTCAATTAGCAGTGCATTACGCATAAACTTACTTCTCATTGAGGTTAGAATCGCCAAAGGGATTGGAATCATTAGAATAACCAGAAACCGTCTGTGCCTTTAGCTTCTTCGCAACTCTCGTAGCCTAACAAATCAAAATTATAGAAAAAAATCACAATTACGTCCCAAAGAATTGCTCAAACCAATAATAGACCTAATCCAAACCTTCTTTTGAGCTTTCTTGGCCAAATACTCAGTGATTTCTTCTTCGGTGATTCTCCTCGAAGACCTATTCTTGCTGCTGCCACGACGTTCCTCGTCGGAGTAATCAGATTCTTTATCGCTCCGCCGGGTACTCCTGCTTCTGTGGCTGCTAGTTCTGCGCTTGCGGCTGCGACTCCTTTCAGGAGAGGCATCACGGCTGTCGGGCTCGTCGGAGTAGGAATATGAGTCAGACTGCGACTCAGCTGCATCAGAATCCCTTCTTCGGCTTCGACTTTTGGAAGAGGATTTCTCCTTCCTGCTCGTGCTCCCGCTGCCCATATTTCGCGAGCTTGGCTATGGACGATGAATTTTGATTTTTTTAGCCATTTGTTGGCTTAGAAAAGGATTTTTTCTTTTTTTTGGGTAATTTATTGGACTAGAGTAGTGCTTCTCAAGCACATAAATTTTTAATTTTTTTTAATACAAACTCCACTTGATTTAGTTATTAATTAAAATAATAATAATTA